CACGAGTAATCTTCCGATACCTTAATTCCCAAGACAACGAAACATCCTCTCAAGTCTAAGTGATTATGACATTAAAATAGCTGTAAGCCAATATAAGATGAGGGGGAAAAGAAGGGCAAAAGGAGAGGGACAAGACTGAAAAAMCTGGCTGTGTTTTTCCATTCTCCAACCTTCGCTAACACAGTTACTAATATTATTTAATTTGGTCCATGATGGAACATTCACTTAAGTTCTCACTTAAATAGAGTCCCTCCAAAATAAACTCAAACAGAAAATAATCAGTGGGAATGTAGTTTAATAAAGTGAGAAAAAGCTAAACACTACCCTTCCTCTGAGAGAGTATTCTAAACTTTACTCCTACCAAATGAGGGCAAAAAAAAAAGAAACGTTATCAGAGGTTGTATTTCAAACTTAAACTTTCAAAGGAAGAAGCATGAAAAAATCAGTCACACCATTTTTCATATACAGTTCACCATTCCAAATTCCAAATATGATGTTCATAAAAAGGAAACATAAACCATATAAAATAGTTGACTTAAGCCTACAGACTTGCATACAGCTTTTCCAAAGCAGCTGCATAAAAACAAAGTGCCCAAACTTGTTGGTTTTACTAAAATTTCCCAGACTTTATTCTGATGACCTACAGCTAAAGAACAGCCCCTTCAGTAATTCTGATTCCTCAAAGCTCTCCAAGCTCCATATTTTGCTTGCTTAGRCCCTACATCCCTCCACTGGAACCTCGAGGAATGTTATGGGATTAGATACACCCTATTTAAGAATTTTCTACTAAAAGGTATACTTTATTCATATGCTATATGCCAATATGACAATTACAGAAAGCATACACCATCCCCAGGTACAGGTTAGTTCTTCTTTCACCCATATGTGCTCACGGCAACATTTCTAGACCGTGCATAGAAATGATAAGAATCTAAATTGCTTCACCAGCATTCACTGCGATCTTCTTAGATCCAGTAATTACCATATTACAAACTCCCTGCAAAGCTAAACATGGACGTATCTTCTTCAAACTGGTCAATTCACTTGCAGTAGTTACAAAAAAGTAAGTCAGAGAACTTACCCTGTCATAGTAATAGTAATGCACAGCAATACACAGCAACTTCCTAGCATGGAATTGGATTTCCATACCATAAAATGAAGTATTTTACTGTTAAAAAGCTTGATTTTATTAGAGATGACTACATTTTAACTACTAGTTTCAGCTGTGTARAGCTAGTTTCAGCACAGCATTGAACCCATTTTAATATCATCTCAAGATAGTTCAAAATTAAAGGAAAAACAGTGATACTTCCTCGAGAATATGATTTAGCATCTCATTAATTTCTCAGCTAAAAACAAATTTGCCAACAACTTTAAAGTCTTGGTATTTTGATTCCTAACTATTTTTAACATGCTTTGGTTTCTCTTTTTAACAGAGGACACCCTATATTTCCCACTACACATTTTTCAGAATACAGATGGAAGGGGAGTAAGAATTCACAAGACATAACATTGTTATACAATGTACTATACAAAAACCTGTCATTTAAGTTGCAAGAAACCTACTCATCAATAAGTGGAAAAAATACCCTGCTCAAAAATCAATTATCTTGAGTCTTTTGTATAGAGAAGTAGTACACCTTTCAGGCAACTGGTATTAATGAGCAGACATGGCTATAGAATCTCCATCTGTTTTTCTGACAAAGCTGTGACTACTCCAGTCTCTCATTGAAATTCCATTAATCTGGTGCACCAAGGACCAATGCGAAAATCAAAACTCCATCTAACCCTTTATCAGCTCACAATAACCTACAAGTGAACTCTGCCTGTTAGCATACAGCAAGTTATGATTTTGCTATCAATCAGGCGGTTAGCCAATAAAAAAAAGAAAAAATCAAGTTAAGAACAGAGTGCCTGGCAGTGCTGTTTTGTTTTGTCTGTCTTGTTTTGAGGTTTGTTATTTTATTCGGGGGGGCTGTTGTGCTTTATCCCTCTTCCAGTTTCTGTAGGGTGTCTGGACATGTAAGCCTATGCATCATTCTCCTTCCTTGTGATCTAATTGCTGCCAGCAATCAAGTCAAAGCATCACTGAAGTGTGCTTGAATTTCATTAGAAGATATAACTTATGCTACTTTCCTACAGTACCTAATAAACCATAAAGAAACCAAAACACATATGGCTTGAGGGAATAACTGGAAAATTAGGTGGCCATTTGGGAACTGAGTGAACTTTTGAACCAGGGGAACAGAGAAAAAGAAATATTAAAAGGAAAGACAGACTTAGAATGCACACAGAGATGTGGGGGTTTGACCTTTTCAGTACCTAGAAAATTACATTAGCATTATGAAAAATACATATCATGTTTAGAGTTTATAATCCATCAAAGTTTAGATACTTTGTTAGTGCCTACCATAAGGTAAAAGTCAAAAGGACAACATAACAATCAGATTTGACAAAAGGCCTTTAGGTGACCTGTGCTAATTTAGTTATCCCATACTTATTGTTAAATGGATTATCTCTCTGGTAATTAATACACCATTAGACAAAGGTCACACAAAAACGCCAGGTTTCCACAATGACTGTAATGTACACGTAATACGCTAATTCTGTATCTGCTACCAAACGGGAGCCGTCACAAATTTTATTTTGAAGCAACGTTGCAAAGTCAAGTAGTGATACTTGCTGAGGTTGTACAAACTGTAGTCTAATGCACAGATATACAGGCAAAAAACATCTATTTTTAATGGAAAAGTTACACTTAGGCTTATAGAAAAAAAAGATGAAAGGACTCGTATAAGTAAGGAACACTTCTCAATTTCATTACCTACTGTTAGTGCTTAAAGCCTTCACGCCGCAACTGGAAATGCAGTGAGGATCCCACCTGCACKGAGCCCTGCTGAACTAAACTGGGAAAGTCAGAGTCCGCCTTATAGATCAAGGTACCTGTGCGAGCTTTAAATACTGAGAACCAASAGACTGCTCAGAAACACAGTGCTAAGCCTCAGACCCAGGCACGCTCATGGAAATGAGGCACGCAGCCCTCCCAAGCACCAGTCTGCCTCTTAGGAGATGCTCCCAACGTGCATTTTCATACCTAGGCTAGGTGTCTAGACTTGAGTGACAGATTATAGACCTTAAAATCAAAATGTCCTTAGAATGACACACTGCACGTTCACAGAGCGAAACAAAAACACTGCTACAATCAGTATTTATAAACTAAGAACTGCCTTTTCTCTACTTTCATTCATTCTGAGCGCCCACTAGACAATTAAATAGGATTTATCAAAGAAACAAAAAGTAGAAACACCAATAGGAGGTAGCATCATCTTAAATATAACAGAAGTTATCAACTGTATTTTTACTCCTACTGTAACTAATTAGCCACAATATTGTATCTAATTCACAATTCTAACTTCTAAAATGGGCTAAAAAATAATCATTCATCTGTACAAACTCATATGATGTTTCACATTCTCTTGTCTCAGCATTCTTCAGTCCTTCACTATACAGTTTTATGAACACAATCACTTTTTTTCTTGATTTACAGTTTTGGAACAGATATAATCATATCTCCTATGAAATATTCATACAAATTAGTCACATATCCTTTTTGCAGTCAATACCACATTGTTAAGTTATAAATTAGAAATCATTTTAAGATAATGTTTGTAAGTAAAAACAAATAAATGGAAAGTTGCCTTCATCTGTAGTTTGGAAAATTAGCTAAGGTTTTACAAAAGCTATATTCAATTTGATAATTATATTTCAACCTGAAAGCAAAAAGGCTTATTTTAATTTTTTAATAGAAGATCATATTGCCAAAATGCAAAACAATCTCCATATAAAAGAAAATGTGCTATTATTATCATTACACATTTTACTGAGTTCTGGATATATATAAATATATACAAAAAAAATAAAAAAAGCCTTATTCTGAATCAGTGGTTAGAAGGTTTATCACTTATGCATGTACTTGACTTATCCCTGTTCTGCAATAGACATAATTTTATACCTCATAAAAGCAATTTATGTTTCCAAGGGGAATAATTTGGATAACATAAAATGTGGAGTGCTATGTTGCGGGAAGCATATTTTCATTCAGCAATTGTATTTCGAGATGGAGCTGCACAGTTTGATCATCATATCATGTCAGAAAACATCATTCACTAGTAAGTCTATCCAACTTACAGTGCCACAAATTAATATACATCGTTAATTTATTTGTACATATACTTAATTTATCACCATGTATTATCCATAGAAGGCGTTTATATTATGTATATAATAAACGAAACCTTGAAAATATGGACACTATGCTAAAGCAAGCTTGTTAGCTCTTGAAATATTCAATTGCTCATATCTTCAAAACAATCACATTTAGCATTAAATTTAATGAATACAGAATAAAACAACATGGAAAACAGCTAGGGAACTTAGAGGGTTTTTTTAAAATTTCTATAAAGAAAATATTCTACCAAACACTGTCTTAATGGAAGAAAACATTGTCGGAATAATTAATTTAATATTTTATGAACCTATTCTGCATGGAGTTTACAGAAAAGTATCAATCACACAAACTGTTTCATTATTTATAAGATAAATAATACAGCAAGCCATTAAGTAGCACAATAAAATTAAGCAAGAATCTGATAATGTGGAATTAACAAACACTTTGTTACTACAAACATCCCCACTGCTTTAGCCCCCGATCTGTCTTTAAAAAGGTAGAAGGCCACAAGAAGACACTTTGCCATGAAAAAAACCTGAGTTAAACCAGCCTGTGCACGTCGGACAGCTTCACTGTGCCTCTAGGACCACTAGAGAGAGCTCTTCAGTTCCTTAACAGGTTCTTGTGAAGGTACCGCCACCGTCCAGCTGCGAGGAGGCTTATCTGTTTATCTGAGTCCCAGCACTAACATTCTCATCATGAGGATCCAATTACAWGAGTTTGTAGCAAACTGGCAAATCTAGTACATTCAAAGATAAACAGTGTCACATACCATCCGAGGGGGCTTCATCCTCTTTATCGTACCGGTCAGATGCTATTGAGGCACTGTCAGGAGGTGAAGAGAAAGAGCCCTCAGGCTCTTCCTCATCTTCCAATTCTGCAAAAGTCAAAAAGACATTGCTAGTTACAGGCCTGTCATACACACATGGGCAGAATCCAAGACTTGGTTTATTAATAAAGTCCTATTTCAAACTGAACAAATGCTGATTTTAACGTACTCTGGCTCCATGCACCTTGCATGCTAAAGCATCACAGTAAGCGCTGCTGTTTTAGACCTACCTCCTTATTAGCCATGTACTTTTTCTTGGGATGGGTTGGGGGGTTTTTGGCTGGGTGGTAGTTCTTTTTTTCCCWAAACAACACTGTCACAGTAATGAACCTACTCCCAGCGCGGCCCTGCTGACAGCTTCTCACGCACAGCGGAAAAAAACCACACGCTGTAGCAAAGAAGTGGGCAAGGGAAAACACTGTCAGGAAGAGAAATAGGCAGTGTCAGGAGCAGGAGCTTGTTCTTACCAAGAGCGGAAAGGAATCGTGGCGGCCTTGGCCAACACGCGGCCCGACTACTTTTTGCAGCCGTTCGTCGCCCTCTGCCCACCTCAACTTTTCTTCAGGGAACGGCCTTGCAAACACAGAACCCAACACGCTGTATCCCTCCCACGAGGCACAACCTGGACCAGACCCCACCAGCATCCACCTGAACCCAGGGTTTAAGGCAGTGTATTGATGTATTTCTGAAACAGCCGAGAGTCTGGCTACAATACGGGCAAAAATCTGCATCAGAAGCMAGCCCATGCTGATCAGAGCATGTTAAACGTGAAGGTCTGGGAAAGGCAAGGAGAAATCGATACTCCCTGAGGCGTTCATTTAATTAGAGAAATTAAAGTTCTCCCACCTCACTGCCCCACAATGGGGAAATTTTGTAAGATTTTTTTCATCCCATCTAGGTGAAAAAGCAGTGGAAAAAATGCCAAAAATTAAGGAAAAAACAAGGCTTGGAGGAGAAAAATAGTCGTTAAAGTTGGTAATGTCACTAAACCAAAATCGTACACCTGATGTGCCAACAGAACAAGTGACCCTCAATTTCTTTAAACAGTATATAAAGTAAATTGCTCAGGCATTTTATTTTCATATATTTATATGCAGAAAGCTACTATCCAGAGACCTCTAGATAAGCTTCTCCTTTCAGGTATTCCAAGTACTGTATTCATTTCTCACAATCATATTCATGTATTCACTTCTCAGAACCGCAGACAAACCACATACATGGTGAGGATATTCTGTACTACACGCGTATGAACCACATTTAACAGTAGGGCTGTCTAGCCATGGTTTAGTTTTGCTACTTTGCTTCCTATTTAATCACATAAATTCATGAAAAATTTGGGGTCTGCCCAAAAGCACCAGTTCTTAGGAAAGAGAAGCATGTTTCCTCTGTAGACAAGAAAGCAAAGCCCRATTTCTGCCTTGCTGGAATTCTTTTACATTCCAAGATTATGGAATATCAAATTGGATTTTCCTTTCATTAACATACTGTGTTTTTCTTGTGAAAGCTTCCTCTCAAGCTCCAGCCCCATATAACAACTGCTCAGAATATGACACTGACTCTGGTCTATTCCTGATGCGACCATCAGGATGTTTCCAGGAGCACTCCAGTCATCGTGTTAATCTGATTCAAAATATTTGCATTTCATCACACCTGTCAAACCAAAAGTAAATTATCCCTCTCCAGAAGGATTCTCCTGTCCCTCCAGAGAAAACCACAGAGCAGACAGCACATGAGCAGAAACCATTATGCCATATTTACAACCGGCACGATCATCTTTCACACTCATGTGCCAAAGACCAGTTGTCCGTCTCTCTCTTTCGATATATATATATTTATATCTTTATTAGATGATAGACTCTATATGCAAAGAGCAGACGTGATATTCACAGCTTATATGACATCAAGAGTTCTTCCGTTTTCCCTGTCTCAAACCTTTTCTAGTACTAGAATGCATAACCTATGTGTACATATATAAGCATCAAACCCTCTAAGTACCAGGGGTGTCAGTCAAAACTGCCCTTCTATCAGCTATTAACAAATGTACTCACAGTCACACAGGACAAGATTTTTTTGCAGCTTTATACTAAAAAGAATATTTGCAAATTCACATTATATACTGAAAGGCAAACCCTAACTCATTTAATTGGTATGTAGGAATTGCAGTCACATTAATAGGATGGCTGACTAGATGTGCTCTGGTGCTTTAACAGGCAACATTTTACGTTTGCATGGAGTCACACCACAAAAAAATGACTACAGAACAGTATCGATTTCTTGCCTCCTGATTTTGGCAGGGTTTAAGAACACTCTTAGGAGAGTATGCTTTTAATATATACAGATATTATCCCTAGCAATTTATACAGAGACTCCCTGTTAATTCTGTGTGGTCTCTTGCATTCCCAGACAAACTACTCCTGTCTCCCTTTTCCACTTCATATTCTCCTGTTCTGCTCTGTCAGGGTGTTGCACTGCAGCTAATATTCCACCTCCTGAGGAAGGCTAGAAAGAACTGGAGCTGCAGCTCTCGRTGTCACTCCTTAAGCAATCAGGGGAGTCAGTGTTGAGCAGCTCAAGTCACTTTGCTCTTCAGGTGCCAAGTACCTAAAAATACACCCCAAAAGCATCAATAAATTCAAGCAAAGCATTCAGCTTGCACTTATGTAATCGAAAACTGAACTACAAAGCAACAATGAGCATCAGGTAAATGCATCCAATACAATTTGCAGGCATAATTGAAAGCATTACTGCCTAATCAGACATCTAAAAGCAAAGCATGCTCAAGCGAAATGTCTATAGACTCATTAGTTGGCAGCCATTCCATTACAATCACACATAATGTCAGTAGCGCCTTGAACCTGTGCCAATGACAACAGCATAAATTTTGCATCTCATTTCTGTGGTCATAAAATTAATGATCAGTTTAAAAATACTTCTTTGCAAAAGTTATTGCACAAAGAAATGACATGAATGTGTCCCTGTTATGTAGTCATGAGGATAATTAAGGAGTTGGTGCTCATTAATACTGTTTCTTGTTTCCCTAGAATACCATATGATTTATCAGGATCTTGAAAAAAAGTTTAATTAACGATAGATGGTTAACAGCTACAACAATGCAAAAGCACCTACGTACACTATTATACCCTCCGATTTCTGCAACTTAAACTGTCCACTTACAGCCTTGATAGCAGAATCACTATATTATCCACAATAAAACATAAAGCAATGTCTTTCCTCATTAAATGCTACCTTGCTTATTTTATAGAGAGAATAATGCACACCARGGATAAGCATACCACATGAAAATTGGAGCATTAAACACGAACTTTCTTCAGTGCAGCAAGGGCTACACTTAATCCTCTGTCCTATATTCTGGTGATTTTCAACAGGTTTTGCGGGTATAACTTGAACGTAGCAACCAAAGACCATATTACTTTATAGGGACCCAGTAAAAAAATACTTTTTTTTCTTCCAGAAATATATATATTTTATATATATTTATAGCTCTTATATTAAGAAATATATTTTAAATGTAAAATATAATATTATATTTAATTATAGTAATGAATTCCTAAACACTAAAGACAGTGATTCAGGTACTAAACCTAGTAGACAGCAGACAAGATGTTTCAGCTAATATCTCTGAAATAGACTCATGCTATCCACACTACTTGTTTATAGGTCCCGAAATGGGATTTTTTACTGCACTTTTAGAAAGTCTAGGGAGAGGGAATTGCTCAAGTCAGCTCTCTAACATCCTGCATGTTGCCATTTCAGAAAGTCCCAAGTCACTGGATGTAACTAAGTCACGCTAAGTCACCTCCAGACAAGTCACTGCAAGGACTATATGAACTTAGCAAGTAAATATATGCAAGGTTCTCTCTACATATTTTTTTCACAAAAATACCTGGATAAAGTAGCTTTCAAGCTCACATGTGTGCTTTAGCCTCTTGGTGGCAGGGGATTTTTCAGAAAGTTGCTACTGACCCAGTCTACCAGTCACCCTTCAAGAAGGAATATTTTCCTGACCGCTTTCTCAAAATATGCTTTGCCGTGCAAATAGCTCTAACACATTCTTTCTGGAAGACTCTAGATACCCATATTAACACGATGGCTTTAATCTAATTTAAAAAAAAAAAATTTACAAATTGCTCAAATCTTTAAATTGCTCCTTGACCTTTATAAAACAAGCACCTATTTTCCAAACACCACTGAGATGGCACTAGGTTTGCAGGCAAACATGCTTCGAGCACAGGAAAGCAACGTAAGGTGCCCTTGCTGGGTACACGGTTACGCTGCCTCTTGTTCTGATGGGGCACATCAAGATCAGACTGTGCCTCGCTGCCCTGGACACTTCACAGGTGATATTTCTGGGATGCTGAAAGGGACAACATAGCRACTTGCCCACAGGGAATGCTCCGGCCCGCCAGGATAAAAAGCATTGGGCACGTTCCTCCTTCCTGTGATGGTCTCTCCAGAAAGGGTTGCAATGATCCTCAGAGGACTGGATAACAACAGAGCAGCACCTTTGCCATTTATGTTATACTACTCATAATGCATTCATATTCCTGATTCAGAAATTTCATCTGTATTAAAATACACCACTCATATCCACACATTGCTATGRCCAGAAACTAGTGTGGCCCTTCCTCAAGTCCAAAAAGTTTCCCACCTCCCTGATGCCATTTCCTAGAGAACAGAGTGTAGAGACAAAGAAAAGAAGTAACACTCCCCTAGAAAACAGTCCTTTTTTGGCCCCAGCACCCAAATAAAAGAGAAAATACAACGTCTTTACTTATAGGGCTACTCCATCAGCTTGACTATATCCAGGAAGCAGGTGTCTCCAGCCCCAGACACTCATTTTTCCATCAGGAGCCACAGAGGCATCTGAAGCATTGACAGGATTCCTAGAGGTGCTCCTGGTAATCAGGCAAAGAACAGCACTGATGCTCCACGAACACAGGTTTACCTTCTACTATGCCAAAGCAAAATGAAAATTAAATGGATCTTCATCAGCTTTTAGCAGCCTCAGAAGTCATAATTCAGCCTAAATGCCAAATCAAACATTTTCTGCATACATACTACCAATGTCAGAAACAAGTTGCACTTTACAGACAACTTGTTCTACAAATACCCATACTATGTGACTGGATTTGGCTAGTGCTTTTGGTGTCTCATTTTCAGCATAAAGCCAAAATTCTTTATGAAAAGTGCATAAAAATAAATATATTGCTAGAATAAATGCAAAGAACAGATGGCAAGTGGACGTCAAACACAAATACAGTTTCTAGGACTTAGAGTGCTTCTGCCAACTTTAGCACTATTTTTAGCATAAATTGAAAACAAGGTTCTTTTAACTAAACATTTTGGCAGTCATAGTATTGATTCAATTAATCTCAGAACAGAGAAATGCCAAAAACTGTTTTAACTCAGAATCTTTGATGAAGGCCAGACTTTTCTATCTTTCACTGAATATTAGCTTTTTAAAAAATTAGTCCTATTTGTTTGAAAATTATTTTCAAGTTCTKCCCAACTCACTATCTAGAACAGGTCACCTTGCATGAGACTTTAACTGGCTTTTTCTTTTCACTTACACTGCTTAGATGACAAGTAAGATATTTTTCAAGCAAAAAAAATCCAACATCCAAGAGGAAAATAGGTTTCTACTGAGTTCCTTCATTTAAGAATGGAAGTAAAATTTGTGGGAAGATTAGCRTTTTGTCTAATAACATAAATATATAATTCTGCTCATGGGACCACAGGGACTTCCTTTGTTCAGAAATCAACATTATTATTAACTGCAAAAAATCAGTATAAAATCAAATACATCACACACGAGAATTAAATGACGTTTTGTGAACTGTAAATGTGGTGTCTTGAATTTTCAGTGCGTTATCTCCAAAAAAATTAATCCATTTTCTTTCAGGGTGCAGGTTCACTTGCAAAGATGCCTTTACCAGCATGTGCAGTGACCTAATAGAGAAGAACATAAGATTGATTTTTAAGAAGACGTAGGAAGGGTCCCAAGTGCACCAGTTTAGTTGCAAAGAAGCATTTGTGCAATTCTTAAAACTTAGAGATGTATACATGGATGATTTTGATTGCAAGGCACCTTGCTACACTTTGCACACATACACATTATTTTAACTGCTTGCCAAATGTTTTATGGAAGATAAGACCCTGTGTGCTAGTGGCAAAAGCCCATACATCAGGAGCTCACGTACAATACCTTGGTCAAAGCAACTAGTCACTACMTGCAAAGCCAGAGGAACTTCGAGAACAAGCACTGATGAAAGGCAGCGGAGTGACAAGATGATACCCAGAAAGCATACTTGTAAAATAACCCACAAGCTAAGAGAGCTGCTGCTTSAGAGACTGGAATCAAGTTCCACTGTGTTAGACAGCAAATGTAGGAATTTTGACAGTGTTGGTCAACTTGTTTCAGCCTCCAAAAGATTCTTCTAGATGCCTTTGGAAAGAGGGTTAGGTCACTTTCTGAACCCTGGAGGTTGTACTGACAACATATACCAGTGAACTACATTCCCTAGAATAGTCTTCAAGTAAAGGCAGGTTCCAGTTTTTAATGATTTTTTTTTTTTAAATTCATGCATGTAAATGTACATCCATTTACAGAAGTTTAAGCTAGCTTGGAGAAAATATGGAATTTCTTTTGAGTCTTCTTGTTTTATTGACAAATACTGAAATGTCTCTATTCCCAAGCTCCACCATCTGTACATAGTTCTAGCATCTGAGCCCAAGAAATGCATCACGAGAATTAAAATAATCAAGAGCAATCYATCCTTCTTAAGGAGCAAATATACTCTAATAAGGAGAATAAGGCTGAATACAATTTTTACTGAAAGCAGAGYGAGTTGTACAATAACAAACTATTTCAAGTAAATTAAAATTTTACTGGAAATAACCCCATCTTTATTAATAATTTGTTGAATTACTAATAAAATTGAATCAAAGAAGAAAATACAATAAATAAAATTCTTGTACTTCAGAGAAATAGCAGTACATAAAAATTCTGCTCTTTATAAACAATTCTCACGTTGATTGTAGTCTCACAGGTTCAAAAATCCTTTAGGTGCAGGCATGAAACCTGCAGAAGCMTAAAATACGCTCTCTAGAAACTCAGACATCCAATGAAACAACCACACTACCTAATTTTAGATTGTTCTCTGAATAAAATGACATTTAGCTTTTTCCTCCCTCTTCTGTCTAGCAGCGGAGGGAAATTACACCTTACCTTCAGTAAGGGTGTTGAGATAGAACATAAAATAGTAGCAATAATTTTAATGTAACTTATTACAGTCACATAGTTTGAGTTTATAAAAACCTGGCACTCTTTAATAAGTTTTAACTTAAACTTTCTCTTTCAGTGGGTCTGTTACCTCCGTCTAATGTCTTTTTGCACCTTGTTACAGCTTCGCTTTGCTGAATATGCGATTTCCTTGGCGTAGCTYGACACTATGAGGAGGCACTGATGCAGCCTGCACATCTGACCCTCCCTGCCCAGAAAGAGCCAGCCCGGGGCTCGGCAAGCCCGGCTAAAAGCCGAGCTTTGCACGGGCTGCCATGACCTCGCGCTGTGACCCTCCGAGCGGCATCCGCCGCCCGCGGGTCGCGACCTCGGGGATGAGCGTTCTGGAAAGSAGAGCCCTTCCAGGCCGAGGCGCAGCGGAGGAGGCCTGGGCAGCGCGCGGGCCGCTCCGCACCCGTTCGTCAGGGCATAACCCACGTGGAAAACCCACGTGGATAACCCTGCGCGAGGGCTCTCCGTAGGGGCACTCCAGGTCCTCTCCTCTTCAGCTCCGGCCTCTGGCTACGCTATGGGAACGCATGCGCTCGGCGCGCATCGGAAGCCGGCGTCTCGCGCTGCCGCGGGCTGAGCCTATTGAAAGGTTAAGAAACAGCACGCTGCAAGGAAAGGGTTTTGCAGCCGCTGTTCAGAAGAAAAGGCTGAAATAAATGATCCCGCCAAGAGGTCAAGCAGACTGCTCTGCGGACACTTCCTCCCAGAAAGCTGCCTCGCCTGCTAGGACACGATACCACACCATTTATTTATTTTTAGCTACATCACGCATTACAGCCTCCATTTATATGAGATCCTGAGCTGTATTTCGAGACTGTTCTTTGCATCAGGAAGCGTTCTCAGCTGTGCTTAATGAAGGCAGTRGGAGCAAGTTTTAGCACCACGTTGGGACCTGGGAAGCTTTTTCCCTTCGGGCTCAGCAGGGGGAGCCAACATCCTCATCCTTCGGGTCCCCACGGCTGCAGGGAGCATCCCAAGCCTCTACATCCCCCTGAGAATCTGTCAGCGGGCAAAGATTTACCAGAGCAGGAGGGAGGGTGGGAATAAAACACACGTGCAGGATTTACCTTTATCCTGGAATTCTTGAGGATAGCTGCAGAAAGAAAAAGAAACAACATAAAGCACTGCAGATTTGCAAATCTCCAGAACTGGAATACAACATGAATTACAAGTTTTCTGCAAGTTTTGTAATCGGAAACTTAGTGCTGCAAATTTCCTCCCTTGGTATTTGATAAGCCATCCAGCCGTGCCCAAAATATTTATTAGCTCTCCTTTYGCCTTTCAGAAAATCCCAAAACAGTTATTTTTAAAGAAGGCTCCAGTGAAACCTCCAATAGGGCAGCCTGTTCTCACACATCCTGCACGATAAGCTTACAAAAGCCTCTTTGATTTTAGTTAGCTTTCTAAATGCTAGCATTTTCTTTTAATTTTTGTGTATAAATAAAAGCCACTAGACAAATCTTAAAAATAACATGGTCTATCAGTGGGAAAAAAAATTCACAAAGCCTGGGTCTGGCTGTAGTGTTTCGTCCCATCTGAAGAAAAGAGTATTAAAAATTAACTAAATGCTTGCGTATACACAAGGGTAGAGTAATAAGTTTTCAATGTATTTAATGCCTAAAAACAAATATGTAATTCAAAAAAGAGTAAAATACTAATTCTCCAGCACTGAATCTTTGGTATTTCAGGAAGAAAACTATCATAACTATCAACTGGATGTACAGCAATAAATAACGAGGACAGAGTCATGCAAAACAGCATCTCAGGTAGATGAACCGACCATGAAGTGTGTGTGAAAAGAAGGGGATGTCACTAGAATTGGCCAGCAAACAAAACACAGCTACAAAGCTCAGCAGTAGCACGTGCATCAAGCTGGTCAGCAAGGACACGGTCCCATGCGACAGACAGGAGAGAAAGGAAGAGTCTGAATGAGAAACTGAAAAATACAAACTTAGATCTAGCCTTTTATCTAAAATACACTGCATTGTACAGGGTATGTAACATACCATGGCCTGGACTGTATGGACCTATCATCACGGGGGACATGAAAAATCAAAGAGACTGCAGGGTGCTCGCATTGCAGCTGGCCTGCAAAGCCAAGTCACTGTTAACAGTGATAATATCACTGGGGTATTAGAACTTAGAAATTAGAAAGACTTAGAAATTAAAATAGAGGTTGAAATCATGGGGTCGTATATATGACTAGCAAAAGATTCAGTGTTTATCAAGTTCACAAYCTGCAGGTTGCCCCCATCTAGGGCTTCATCTTTTGGGCAAGGGGTGGGAGGAGGAAGACAACCAAGCCATAAACCTGGAGGAAGGCAACAAGTCCGGAATGCTGTGTCTGTGAGGCACCTGTACAGTCCCTGCTAGCTCTGTAACTCAAAAGGGAAGCATGAGAAATGAAGAAAAGGAACTCTCCTCCCTTGAAAAACTGGGAGAATGGCTCCATAAACACTCACAGGGTGAGTCAAAGGCTCAGAAATGCTCACTTGTAAGATTTTGAGACAGAAGTCGTGACTTCCTCGGGTTAGTGTGGTAAGAATGAGRTCCTCACTGGATGACTGTGTTGTCTTTACATTTGTAAAGGAGTTGTCAAAGASGCAGGATTGTGTCATCAAGCCAAAGGTTAGGAAGTATCCAACAGGAGAATCGACAGAAAAACTTGGAAACCCTTGAAAGCACTGACAGAAGAGAACAGCAAGTGCTAGATTACATCCCAGTTCAGAGTTGTAAGACAGAAAGTTTTGCAAAAAAAAAAAAAAAAAAAAAAAATGAAGCACATACAGAATTACCTCAAAATCTCTGCAGCTGAACTGTTGGACTGAAATTGAAATCACAATAAAACAGTCTCCAATTGTATATAGAACTGAATTCACAACTTCGCCAGGCCTATTCTCGTACTATTACTAAAAAATGCCTATTATCTAAAATGGTTTTTAAGGTATATTTAAATTTATTACAGACCTAAGTGACCTAATAGACTGTAAAGGAAAGTCATCATTGAATTATGCTGGCTTGTATCAACTGAGGATAGTAGCAGAAAGAGCACTCATACACTCTATTCATTATATTTCTTGTAGTTTAATTATTTTTACCACATCAGATGTAAGGGCAAGTTCTAACCAACGAGCTTGCAATAAGGGTTCAGATCATTAAAGCGATTTAATTGGGATGAATCTTTATGGTCACATTTCCTACTGAATTCAGGCAGCTTCAACAGAGATATAAATTCTTAAAGGGATAAAGATTATTTGACAACACTGGAACCTAAATAGATTGTTAATACTGTTAAAAGACTGTAAAAACTAAGTTATCAGAGGAGCAGCTAATTACTTGATAATATATTGAAGCCATAAAATCTCACTTACCTTGCCTTAACATCTTTTAACTTCTTAAGAAGAACATCCTTTTTTTCCTTTGCTTTCTTGGATAGATTTTCTCCTTTTAAAGTTTGGGAAATAAATGTGTCAACATCTAAATCAGAAAAAAAAATTAAATTAAATTAAATTAAAAAAGAGAAGACGATGTACAGATCAAACAATAACGTTCTAGAGGTAAGTACTGCTGTAATGAGTTTGCCCCAACACTACTACGGAGAAACTAATAAAATTATTTTCAGGCCTATCCATGACGCAGCAGATGTTTCAGATTCTAAATGGGATACATTAGTTCTCTGGGCTACTTATGCTTAGCACAGCAAATGCTATGTTGACATTTGATTCTTGCTCATTTAATTACGCCAAATAAGTCCTAATAAATTGCAGTACTATAACAATTACTTTCCATCACTTAAAGTAAGGCATAGAGCTCAAACATGTAAAGAGCCTTTACATATGTATTAATGCAGTGTCATTTCAGAAGTTACAAAAATGGCTGAGTAATTCCCTGTTGCAGCAGTAATGCTTACACAGCTACTACTAGTAGAGGTCATTACTGGTTTTATTATTTTCAAATGTTCTTACATTGCCTCTGAACTACTAAAATACAAGTCCTTAAACAAGGCTCTAATCCTGAATACAATTAGGAATCCACCACAACCATCATATTCAAGCAGTCGGGATCAAACACGAATCGGAGTTAAACACACCGGCACAGGCAGAATTGCAATGCAAGTTAGAATATAGTTTGCAACTTAAATTCTTACACAGAAGATGGGTTTACATAGTCCTGCAGAATCAAAGCATTTGRTAGCAGCTACTGTAGTTCTTTCTCATAAGGTAAATATCCATCGCTTAAGTCAAAAACAGTGCCCTGAGCTTTAGTGCATGTAACAGCACTGATAGCATGTTTTCTTGGTTAACAAAACTAACTGGCAAAGTCAACTATAAAAATTTCTTAACAATAAATACATGAATAGCCTGAAATTCAGAAAAGTAGGAATTTTTTTTTTTAAGTCTTGGTTGTCAATTTAAATATTCCAGATATATCGGCAATAGCTGTGGATTGGAGAAGTTAAACACACTGCCACCCAAGCGCATTTGCCAAATGCACGTGGGTTGTGCCAAGTGACAGYGTGGATGGCACACTTTTAACTCTGTAACTTGTTACATTATGCAAGAAGCTCCATTTTCACTGTCAAAGCACAAAATAGCCAGTGATGCACTCAAAAGTTCACATATGAAAATTTACATTTTAAACCAACATTAAGCTGAATGTTTACCACAGTTGTTCCAACTAAAGCTGTAATTCCCTGGGTTATATTTTATGAATAAAATATTTCAGGCTGTAAAAATATATATATTAAATTGTGTTCTGAGCCAGGATATTGTTCCCTTTGCCCACAAGACAAGAATAAAAGAAAACTTTTCCAACTGCATGTTGCTGAAGACAGCGAGAGCCGCAGGTCTATGGCATTCCTTCTTTCCAAGGACAGAAGGAAAGGCACTTAACCTGRGTATTAATGAATCCTCCAGACACTCCCAGCGGCCTCTATGCTGGAAACCAAGCATCCCTGGTAACATTTTGTACCAACGCACAGAAAATCCATGCATCTTCACAGATTCCAAGAATTAYCATTTCTGAGCAAAGGGGTATATGACAACTCATGTAGTTACCCACAAAACCTCCCGGAGGTCAGAGGATCTGATACTCTTGATGTTAAAATCAAAAACAAAACTGCCAACAGYTTCTCTCTATTAAACCAAGAGGATTTTCCAGTACTGACTGACCTCTCACTCTGCAAGGGGCCAGAMTAATGAAAAATTTCTTTCTTCATGATTTTACTTAATTTTTTTTTTTGAAATATTTAATATCATAGCACTACTTAGCAACATGTGAAAGCTTGGTGCCATTGGTCACATTTATGAATAAGGAGTGACACACCGGATCCTYCAGGCACTAATTAATCACAGGTCTTTGCCTCAGAGGTCTTCACTTGGATTCAGGGGCCTTCGCTACTTCTTGGAAGAGCTCAAAACCCAGCTGAGAAGTCAGTTATCTCAGCTCTGAACCGACTGCCAAAGCCTTCTTCAAACACAAGTCATTACATAACCCAATGCATCAAAACGTGAAGAAGTGGAAACCGTGTGGCTTAGCATAAGCAAAAGTCATCATTTCCATCTTACAACACACTGCAGATACGAAAAGGTGAGGACTAACTACATTGATGGTAGAATTTGTTCTTTTCTGGGAAAACTTGGACTTCAAAAGCAGGAATACTATATAACAGTTCTCAACCACACAAGAATGGAATAGATGCTCTATCTGGTCTCGGTGTTGGAAGTGAGGGAAGGGGTAAGGAAGAGGAGAAATAGGGGAAGAAAAACAATCAGCCAGAACGCACAAGCTCGTGACGTATGTGTTGTTTCTCAGCGTCAGCAAGGACAGTGAAGACATTCCAGGGACCTCTTCCCTCTCCTACCATCTTGAAAAATAATTTCTTTGAGTGAAAGTAGCAGCAAAYGACACATGCTGTATTCAATATGCATTACAGGCACTTGCACATGGACAGAGAAAGCAGCTAGCTTGATTTATCAGAGTCTCTGAATACTAGAACAAGGCTGCTGCCCACTTCAACTTGAAGAGGATGCTGATGACTCAACATACTTGAAAATAGCACATTCTCCAGCTTTCTTAACTGCTCACTTTTACAGAATGTGGCATGATTTGCTCTCTTCTAACCCTGTAAAATCAGCCAGGATGTGCCAAACACCCACGAGACAAGCAGCTTATAAGCTCCTCGGACAAGCAACAGGAGAGTTATCTACATTGTGCTCTTCCCTTCACTACCTTTCACCACCTTCACTAGTCTTGCTACGCTGTTGAAGTTGTTGAAGCATGGAAGAAACAGTCCCTGCTACTARAGAGAGCTTCATCGGTGGCTTAGCTCAAGGGAACATTCATCCATTTCACTTCTAGGTCACTCCTCACAGTGAYGTGACTGAAGAACCACCCAGGACCTCAGCACGACACATACCAGGCTCCTGCAGTGAACGTCAGAGAGAATAAACCAAACATACCCATTTCTGCTACTCGCTAATTCACTCCTGCTTCTCCAAGACGATCCAAAACTTTCTTCTCTCCTCTGCAACTTTAACACTATAAAGAAAAGGGGGATGAAAGCTAGCAGCCACAAGCTCTTAAATGTGAATGTTTCTTTCATGTTTCACCAGCATTTTGTCCATTGATGGAGCTAAGGAAARCTGCTTCCAGACAGAAAGCCTCTTTGAGCAGAGCACTCCTCCTCACCAGCAACACAAACAAGCGCTGTATTTTCACACACTTGGTTCGTAACTAGCAATCCCAGCAGCTGTTGGGTATCCTGCACTGCAAAGAACATATTATCATCACTCAGCTACAGCTCATTCCTTCTAGTGAAAGCATTGCAATTTCAAGGAGAAATAAGCTTTGAAAGGCTCTTCAATGTCCCCTAACTTTCTAAGGCTCGTGCCTGAGCCCGCCTGATAGCTTGAATGCCAGTGTTTGTTGCTCTGCTTCCTAAAGCTCCCGATATTAAATTTGAAGCAGGCCCCAGAGAAATTGTTTGCCTCCAGAAATGAACAGGAGATGTAGAACTGAAAGATTCAATTGACAAGATCCATTCACAAATTGCTCTGTCAATATGGGTTATAAACCAATAGAAAAAGAGAAGTTGCACTAAATATAGCTCAGTCTGCTTCTATTGTAATGCATCAAATGGCTCATACAGTTCCAAGTTTAACTGCCATTTCATACCACAGTCAGAAGCTGAAAGGCCTTTTTCATTTCAATTCCATCAACATTCCTTTCATGAGGAAAAGAAAATTAAGATAGTTTTTGATTTTCATTGTTTGTTAAAACATTTTGTGCTTCTCCGTATTTCAGTGATCACAGCAGACAACACTGCAAGTTCTCCATTGTGTTAAGTCCTTGGGGCCATCCTCTCTAATAGGGACTGACACTAGGCAGAAGGACCTTTTCAAAACCGCTGCAAACCTTTAGTCTAAAACATGTACAGCATTCAGGAGTACTATATTAATCACAATGAATTTCTGTTGTTGCTCATATTGCTTAGAGTGTCAATCTCTAGTCTTGCTTAATAAACATACACGAACTGAACTACCTAAGCTTTGGGTGGGGGGGCCTGAATGCACTTCACAGAGGCACTCGCAGGCTGGGTGGCCGCCTCCTCCTCCTTCTCCCCTCTTCCTGAAGGTAACCAAAATCAGGGAATCATTATGTTTGGAAAAGACCTTCAGGATCATCAAGTCCAACTGTAAACCCRTCCCCACCATGTCTGCTAAACCACATCCCTAAGGGCCTCATCTCCATCCTTGAACGCTGCCAGGGACAAGGACTCCACTGCTTCCCTGGGCAGCCTGTTCCAAGGCTTCACCACTCTTTCCATGTAGAAATTCTTCCTTAYGTCTAACCAGAACCTCCCCTGGCACAACCAGAGGCCATTTCCTCTTCTCCGATCACGAGGTAATGTTGTCTTTCACCTTATCAAAATATTAGTCACTTCCTCATCACCTGATGAGTTCACATACTCAAATGATGGAGATCAATTGCAACTTGGCCACGAGAGGCCCTGCGTGTGCAGGCACAGGGCAGAGGCTGCCATGTGGCCTGACCCGCCTCCCTCATACGCCGGGGACACTGGGGCCGGGTGCCCTGGCTGTTGTTCTGCTGGCTGAACATGGAGGGAGYGCCAGGTTGTCCCCGGAGGTTCAAAGCCTATTCCCAGCTCTCTCCTCCTTGGAAGGGGCAGAGCCAGCAGAGAGCCAGGTGGTTTCCCAAAGCAGGCCCGGGAATTTTGGCAGCCCGTTGGAAGCTAGGCCTGCTTGTCCAGATGCCCTGTGCAAAGGGAACCAATAGCCAATACACTACCACTCATCTTTCAGTTCTCCATGGGCTGGCATTAGAAAGCAATTCATTAATTGAATTTCAAACTTTTTTTCCTATTTATCAATATGGAACAGGCCTGAAGACAAATTATCAAGCAATATCAGCAATTGCCTGTCCTTCCACACATAAGTCCCATGTCTTTCAAGCCAAAAAATATCTGCAGGTTGTATTTTTAATCTTCCCCTTCCTTACCAACTACATTCATAAGTCTCCACCCAGCCAGCGTTTGCTAAACATTAAAAATACATTTTTTTTCCCAGAAATAGAAGACATAATGTTAAACAAGCAATTGATAATGTAAAATGTCAAAAAAAGATCACCCCAATCAAGTCTAATAATTAGGTGAACATTCATTTTAGTGCAGAACCATGGAAAGAACCGCCTTTAGGGGCACCCTCAGCCTCCACGAGCAAGGCTGCCAGGCCACATTGTCACAATCAATGTACTGAAAAAAAATGACCACCAACAGCTTGCCAGTGATGTATAAGGCAGAAATACACCTAAATTAACAAAATGTGTGTTTACTTCAAGTGAAGCAAATAGCACATGCCTTTTAAAGAGCAAAATATTATTATAATTGTCATCAAGGACTATATTATAACCTCATTGACTGGGGAGTTGGGCATCCGCTCCCTAAATTAAAGAAATGAGAAAAGATCAAGCTGTAGCATATTAAGTCTATGATGAAAAGAGCACCCTAGCACAAATCAYGCTCAAGTTACAAAGTGCTTCCAAATGAACCACCATAAAAATGTTAAGGATTAACCTAAAGATTTACACTGTATGCCACATTATGCTGCATCTATTGTGGTTTGTTGACATATGATTGGGAAAGAAACGTAAACCCAGTCAGATGAGAAAGATAGACTCCACGTTAATTGAAAAAGACAAACTAAGTGAGTAATGAGTAGATAAAAAATAGCCTATGCCATTTTTATCACCCACATATGACACTTATTCTCAAATTTATGGCAGAGACAATTGAACTATGTTTCAAATCACTGGAGGTTATTTCTTACCAGGAAGGCCTCGGTGCATTTTTTCACCTCATTGTTTCTATTCTTACTCCGTTACTATTGAAATGCATATATATATATATATATATATATATATTACCAAAGCCGTAAATACATGTCTACTTAGAAGATGCCTACAATAATCGCCCTGGCTTATTTTGTGAAGATGGATTCTTCTGCACAAATCCGCATGCATTATGCCCACGGAAATGTGAAAATAATACTTTAAACAAAGGAGAGTAAAGTTTTCAACAACACCATACATGTAAAATCGAACCAGCTGATGAGGAAAAGGAAAAACCACCTACGTGCACCCTACATGTGAAAGGAATGTAAGGAGCAAGCCCAGCAACAGGCACCAGGGAGGTCAAGGAATACAGTTTTGTGGGGATCAGGGGTAAATGTAACTACTACAATGCCCCAAAATTAAAGATAATCATAATTACATTAAGATAACCATAATTAAACTATCTCAAGCAGTGAGTGGTTCTCTCATCCAACTTTCTCCTGCATGCTATTTCCTAGGATGCTGCTAAACGAATGGATAAAATTATGCTCCTTTGAAAAACGTAGGGGGAATACGGCAGGGAAAAAAAAACAGTTAGGGCAAGAGAACTAGAGATTTTTAAAAGAAATGAGTAACGTTGAGGTGGAGATAGGCTCAAAGGCAAAATCAGAGAGTTTGCATAAAGTGTTTTGTTTAGCAGGAAACAGGGATATACAAGCTAGATATTATGTTCCATAGGGACTAGGGAGTTTTCATCACATTTGCATGAAAAAAGATCCTAGTAACTCTCTAAATATGAATACAGAAATTTCATTTTCATATTTGAAATGCAGCAAAGCATGACAGCAGAGGTGAAAGAAAAATATGTCCTTCTAGAGTCATAGTTGTTTCAAAGATGACGGGGAAAAAAGATAAAAGATGATTATGATGCTGTTGGAACCTTTTAAAAAAATAAAAAAAAACTTAATTGTTTCAACTAAATCCTCATTACTAAAAATATGATTAAAAACTTTTAAAAAAAAAAAACAATCCTGGTCACCAAAGCAACTGGTATGATCTATGTTACAGAAAGAGCAAGGCGCCTTTGGGGAAGGAGTAACAAGGAAGGAACCTTCAAAACCTCCTTGGTTAGCGACAAGTTGAAATTCAGGAGTGTGCCCCTAGCAGCATAAAAACAAGCCAGAGGAACAAGTAACACCCCAGCTTAACAAACCAGCACCCCCAGAAAGATCCTGAACATAAAAATACAAGAGAGGCTGCCTTTGTCAAAAGGAGAAGAGATACAATAGGTCTCTGCTCCCTTCAGCAAATTCCAAAAATTCACCATCACCTGGAAGGTGCAGAGACACAGGAAAAGGGTGAGAAAAACATATATGCACAGTCATACACCTTCCAGATGCAGAGTGTTCTCTCCCCCAAAGCTCCACTCATGAGCAGAGGTCCCAGTGTCTGTCTCACGTCTCTGCACCCCACTTAAGGAAGGCAGAAGAGAGGGGAGCRTTGGGCAATGCCAGCGCCTCTCTGCAAAGGGCCCAGCGCTGCCCTGACTTCCCCCTCCAGCTCTACAGCAACAGCTTCCTGCTGCTCCCAGGCGATGCTCTTAGCCCCGAGCTCGGCTGCTGCTGGGATATTTCAACACACAACTGCCCTGACCCTGCCCACACGTGGGAGAGAAGCTGTTTGAGGGTTAAAGATACCACATCGTCCACGTTCAAAGTAAAGCACTCACAAGTCAGAAAGTTTCCTGCCCAACTTTAAGCCATCCCTAGGTGTGTGTATTCCCATTATCAGTGTTTGACTACAGGAGCAGCAAGTGGACTTTCCAGCAGGACCCTCCTTGTCCAGCGCAGCAGGGGGTCAGTGCTCTGGCAATCACCAGGGCTAGGCAAGGGTAAGGGAATCCATAGGGTCACCTACGCCACTTGTTGCGCAAGTCAGAAAGGTAAAAACCCCCGGAGAGCAGGAAGAAGGCAGTGTTTAAAAGATTACCAACCTGTCCCAGTCTCACTGCTATGCACACATTGCCCTAAGAACCATTTGGCTTGAGGTGCTGTTAACGTTCCCAACATGGGCCTATTCTCCCCAGAACCCACAACCAGGAAGGGCCGAGCTCCCCTAACCACACATTAAGTTGATGAACTCTGTGAGCAAAAGGCAGCAGACTACGGAACTGAAGGTTTCCAGAACCCCAGTGCATTAGCAAACACGCTGCTCACGCAAGCTGCGCTACTCTCGTTTCCAGCTTTCACGCACTTCAGTTGTAAACCGTAAAAAAAGGAGGAAGAGGTTAACACAAAAACTCTAAAAATAAGTAACCCTGGGAAAGGATTCTTTGTTCTTCTGTCCCCACTTAGGGATCCAGTTATTCTTTTCAATTGCATAGATGATGRTTTTACATTGGTTTCCCCTTCAGCAGGGGAGGGTTAAAAAATCCAAATTATTATTTGTTCCTCACTACCCCATCTCCACACTGGAATTAAGAGAATTCCATTTTCTTTTTGAACTTAGGTAGATAGCAGGAATAAATCTTTCTTCTAGAAAAACTGAAGCTCAAGGGACTCATACACACATTAGATTCCTGTACATAATCTAGACCATAGAGATTCTGGAAGGGCCCGTGCATCCGAGCCACGGGGCTCCAGAAACCTGGAGCTCTCGGTCTCACTTCAACCTCTGTACCGCTCTCTCCATTGAGGACTGGATAAAGATGAGGAGAAGAGCAAGTTCCTTAGAGGAGGCACTGGCTGAAAGCAAAACCCAGTTTGCAATTACCCCCTGTCACAGAACGTGACGGTTCTACACAGTCCTCTGCACTTCCTCAATCCCAAACCCCATCATACCAAGCTAATAACGGTGAAGAGTTTCTACAGGAACTTCGYCAGATGGGAAGTATATTTACAGCAYGGACACAAAAAAACAACTACATGTGATCCTAAATCCGGAATACACTAGTGCCATGGAAAAAAAGCAAGGTTTGGAAAGGCCCTCTAGGCCTGTTCTGTTATGATCAAGAACCTGAATCCCAAAATAAGAAATATAAGAAACAAGGATTCCCTTTTTTTTTTTCCTCTCTCTGATGTCCTTCACATGAGATTCTAYCACAGAGGTTATGATCTGCACTTACAAATATGAGCTACCAAAACACTTAAAAGAGCTGCCTATAAAAAGCAAATGTTCCAAACGTGAAGTCCTACAATCAAAAGGCTTAAAAAAAAAAGAAAAAAGAAAAAGTCCCCAAAGATGCTGCTGGCTGCCTAGCCATGTAACGGGGTATTTAATTTTAGAGGCTTTAGGAAAGCAGCATTAGTGCTAATGGCTCAGCAAGGTGCGAGATGTCCCTAAGGCAGGAGCAGGAGCTGCCAAGAGATTCTCCTGCTCCAGSTGGAGAAACTTCAGGACAGCAAAGCCCTTCACGCCATGCTCCATACGGGAAAATACACATTTTAACAACAGGAACATTTCAACAACAAGGAAGAATTGGGGAAAAAGATAATCCAAGGTTTTGCACGTAGAAGCACTGGCATTTTTAAGCCCTGGCTAACTCTACTGCAGGAAACATCTCAGCGTGAGAAGTCACTCCAACRCACCAAGGCATCCAGAAGACCATGGACAGCTGCATTTTAACCCCAAGTCATCAGCCTGGCACGTTTAATTGCTGTGACCGCACACCTACAACACACGAGTGTCGATTCACTCCGGCAACGCYGGCCTCAACTATCCAGTGCGAAACTTTGAGAAAAAAACAAAAAAGTGAAGTAACTTTTGAAAAGACAGGCTGGTTTGGGGAAACCTCGCCGGTGACAGCAGGACAACCGCSCCAAGAGCTCCACAAGCGACCGGCAGAGCCGCGACACCCTCCGGGAGCAGCAACCCGGGCCGGACAACAACCCCGGGCCACCGCAGCGCGGCCCTCGGGCAGCGGAACGGCGKCGGCGGCGGCAGGAAGCCCCGCGGGGAGAAGGAAGCGCCGGGAAAAGTCCAACCCGCGCGCCGGCTACGGAGCGGCTGCGGCCCCCCCGTAACGGCCGCCGCCCGCCGCGGGGCTCACCTGCCAGGAGGCCGCGCACGTCCTCGGGGAGCGGGACGCCGGACATGCCGCCGGGCGGGCCGCGCTCCCGCCGCCGCCGCCCCGGAGGAAGCGGCAGCTCCGCCCCCTCCCCCACCCGGCTGCGGCGGCAACGGACGCGCCGGGACGGAGCCGCGGGGCGGGGCCAGGGGGCGGGGCGGGGCCTGGGGGCGGGGCCTCGTTTTCCCTTMGCTCTTCCTCCGCCGAGCGCTCCGGGGCTGCGCATGCGCCTCCCCGCCTCCCTCGCCGTGTTTACACCGGCTGCCCCCATAGCAACGCCCCCCGCGGAACCGCGAGCCTTCCACGTGACCGCTCCCAGCGGCCATTGGGCGGGAAGGCACAGAGAGRGCGCGTGCCCTTTGCCAGCGTCAAACATGGCGCGCCGCGATGCCTGTCGGCCCGCCTCCCCTCCTCCAAGGGCCAATAAAAGTTGACTACTGAGCGACAACCCCCAGGAAGTTGCACTCTGATTGGTCTATTGATTATCCCCCGCCCAACCACCGTCCTTCCCCCAGAGAAGGAAGTTGAGGGAGGCCGGAGGGGATCCAAGGRTGATGGGGAAAGGCTTGGCCTTTCGGTGTCTCCCGAATGGCTTCTGGGCTCCCGTGCAGAGCGTGGCCCTTGGCACTGCTGAGGGAGAAAGGGAGAGGACAGAGCCCCTTCTTGCCCTGTGTCGTGGCATCCGGGCTTGGCCCAGCGGAGCACATCTATCCTTGTCCAAACTAGTGCCACTGACAAGATAAAATGGGAAGTCTAACGCACACAGGACACATAGCAGGGAGTAGGAAGGGGARCGTTTGGCTCTGGGAGCAAGTCTGGTGGTGTGGGCAGCTCCTGGCACAAGTGTGGGCACATGGTGCAGTTTGTGAGCAGCACAGCCGCGCTGGTACAAGGGTCTGCTCTGTAGTGTCATTATTTTGCTTATGGGGACAGCTTTGCTGTGTTTTCCTTGCAGTTTTTTAGCTATCCATACTTGGAACACATAAGTGATATAATATGTTTAGAAAGGGTCAAAGCAAAACTCTTAGCATGTGTTCCTGTGACCTTGGTGGTTTTGGCTATCTCTGTGTTATTGCAGAAAAATGTTTTTGTTAGAGCAGCAGCTATGCTAACACATCTGCGTATCACACCAGTGGGAAAAAAAATCAAGGAAAAGAAGTTGTATTTATAGAATTTCACCTTTCCACCAGTGTAGCAATATCAACACTTGTGGCACAGCTGGCAGTACAGCTGTTTCATCCAGGTGTCAAACAGTTTCATACTTCTGGTTAATATATCTCTGCCAGCTGAAGCCTGCAATGTGTAGACCTGACATTAGATCACCCTGTTCTCCTGGCTTCTCACATCCCTTTTAATTATATACAACAGCTCATTTCAAACACATCTGGCTTTCAAAGCACTGCAGCTTTATTACCTGGTTTTATAGCCATCTTGATTGAAACTCAAGCAGTCAAATGACTGACCTTTATAATGTTACACAAGGATTTTTTTTATGACAGCTATCTAATTTCAAAATAAATATGCTCTTGCATCTGGTTGCATCTATGTAGACAGCAATCTTGCCTTTCAGTATTTATATTAAATATCTACTACTTTTCTGCTACAAGAATATTTACATCTGAGTGATTTTCTGCAGTTGACAAGGAGGGCTCTTTGGGTTTGTGTTAAATTACAGTTTTAAGATTTACAGTCTGGGGAAGTTGCCGTAAGGAGCAGGGAAATGGCTTCTGGTCTAATTTGCTTACCCTTTCCAGATTAATTTTAATCCTGCTTTCTTTTGTTGACTTTATGGCCCTATACATTTTTCTTCCAGAAATGAATCAAGGGTGTCACTTGAACTCTGTTTTAGTCTTTGTTTTGGGATCACCTTTCCTGATAATTTATTCCGTATGTTCACCATTTGTGTGAACTTTCCTTGCGTTTCRGAACATAAAATGAGAAGAAATAACTTACTTTTACCATGTTCTGCCCACCATAGTCTGGTCACCGTTTCTATTTTTCTACCTACTTTTTTTTTTTTTTTTTCCTTAAAGACCTCCTTGTCATTACACTGAAGCTCACCCCAATCACACAGTAAGTGAGATTTGTGACCCAGGCCTGTTTTAAGCCTTGTTGAGTTCCAGATTTACTCTTATTTCCCTAATTTTTAAATCTACCGCTAATAGGAAGTGTAATTCAAAACAGACTCCTTCCCTGAAATATGTCTGGCTTCAGAGCCACTTCAGCCTGTTTTCTGGGGATTCCACAGCTTGTGCCTCATCGAAACCAGACATTCCACTTTGCCTAATCAGGCCCATAGATCAGGCTTTCTTAATGTGTGGGGAGCAACACCACGGGGAACACACAGAAGTTTRTTGTCCTTCTGTGTGTCTAGAGCTTCAGAAACAAGTTAGTCAGGAAGAAAATTCTTCCTGAATCTGCAGAGAGCCTCTAGTAGTAGGAAGCCTGGAGAAAGAATAACGTTTCCGTTCGGGAGCAGCATCGTCCCCACATTGCCTCTTTGAAGAAATCTGATACAGCCAATATGCTGGGAAATCCAGCAATTTTTTCTATGTAATGTTCCATTTTTTCTACAGCCAAGATTTAAAACTTAGATTCAGGGGGAAAAAGAAGGAGACAGGACCTGTGTGCAGCTGCTTCTTATTTCTACATGTCCTTTAATAGAAAATTAATTGGATTACAGTGCATGCTCCCTGCACTATTTCATGTGGGCAGGCAGCAGACTTGTTGAGACTATTTTGTATTCTCATCTATTTTTTCCCTGCTTACTGTCTGCCTTCTTTTGGCAGATTCAAAGCAAAACAGCCAATCAATAATCAGGATATTTATCATTTTTAATTATTTAYATTAAACAGTGGTTGGCAAATATATCTTAGGTGCACATATAGCTTTTAAAAGGAAGGAGAGCAGCACCACTCTCTTTATAAAGAGCTCAGAAAAAATATATGTGTTAACAAAATGACARTCCTCTAAATATGACAGCTCTTTATGCCTCTTGGCCGTGGCCACTGCACAGAAGGAGAGCTATGGAAATCCTTACAGCGGATTTCTCAGTACATTCAAGACATTGCAGCAGTTTTGACTCTAAGCTTACAAACTAATTTTGAAGTATGTAGAATTCATATTTCATACTAGGTGCTTCATGTAACAACTGGCAAAATTGTGAATCTTCTGCTTAGTATCCATCTGCATGGAAACTTCCTTTCTTGCTGTCCTTTCACAAGTATTTTATAGAAAAACAAAATCTTTAAGACTTTCAAGGGTCATCATTTGCACCATTGGGTTGYATTGGCTGTACTATGTTAAGATGTAACTGGAGGATCACAGTGAAGTACTGATGTGAAAAAGACCAAGAACCATTCCTCTAGGTCATTTAGATTGCCTGTATCTTAGCTAACTGCTGAGGACTTGTTTTTCACACTTCATCTTTGTACATAAGGAGTAACAAGGACATAATTCCTATTTTTGTAATCTGGTAAATTACAGGAATATCTAGTTTTACCCAGTAGCTGCCTCTGGAAAAATATTTGGTGTTTACATAATCAAAATTATAGGTAAGTAAATATAAAATTGAGTGATATTTTCTAAGCGTTAGGTGTCATAGGAAGCACTTTTCCTTAAGCATTTTTTTTACCTGAGCATCCATTAGTTTGTTTAGGGTTACGCATTACCCACCAAATAGTAGCGATTAGATAAAAAAATAAAAAATGTTCTCTGCCTCATAATGTTCAAATATAGTCTCTTTTTAAGAATTTTTCATAGGAAAGAGCATATGAATTATAGGCTCCAAAGTTCCACTGAGATTCTGTTTTGAGGCAGTTTTCCAGCTGGATTGATTCAGATGGAACATCCCAAAAGTTAGTCTTGGCACAGGTGTAAGATTTCAGTGGACATTTTGTTTTGCTGAAGTCTATGAAAGCAAGCCAAAGATAACTCCACCAGTATCACAYGGAAAGGCCTGTGCTGCTCATCATGCAAATAGTTCCACTCAAGTATGGAGACAACTGGCTGAATTAGAGTTGCAAGATTTCAGCATATAATAAATAGATATTTCTTTCCATATTTAGCCCTTTGTTCCTAGTCATCTTAAAATGAAATACCAAAGGAAGAAAAATTCTTCCTCTCCCCATTTCTGTGTTGTATAGAGATGTACAGAGATGACCTGGTGGGTTTTCTTCTGCAGCTGACTGTGGTTTTAAAAAGGAAAGTACAGGGACATTCTTTTTGACACCCCTTCCAGTTAAGAATTTAGGGTGTTACATAAACTTTTCCTTACCCTCAGTGCAACTTTGGTATCTAATTAATATTTTGGAGCAATGAAGAGTCACTGAGGTGAGTAAACTTGAATAAGCATCCTATTGCATTCTCCAGAAGTAAAAGCACTGATTCTTCTTCTTTCTTCCAAAGACAGATRGAGAAAAACAAGAAAATATAGACATCTCTTAATCTATTTTTAATATACTTTCTGCTTTTAGATTTTATTACCTGTGATATAACACATTGATCAAAATCATAAGCAAGTTATTCCACGAGAACTATTTTTCTGTGTCTATATTAAGATCCTGTGTTCCTTTCCAAATGCAGTAATTTAACTTCTGCGTCCTATGCCACGAGACCCCCACCATCATCCTCTTTACTAACAGCATGTGCTTTGTGAACAGCAGGGTAATCCCCTTTGTAAAGTCCCCTCATCTGTAAATTGTAGAAGCAGCAGAAACAGTATATTTACAGGAGAACAAAAAAGGAATTTCCAGAGTTGTATAACTTTTGTGTGTAATGTACATTTCCCTTCGCAGGAGAAGTAACACAGTTACTTGAGTTTAAAGCAAAACTGAATAAAATCAGGGTAMAATGTACATGAAATTTGTGCATTAAGCAATGGAATACTGTTTGTAAGCTCTAAATTGTCAGTCTTTTAGCTGAATTAGTAGCAAAATAAAAAAATCCCAGATAAGCGTCAACTCTCAGAGAAAAGAGACAGCATTAAAAATCACTCTGGGTCGAGTCTTCCACCAAATGTTAGCAAGA